TGGAGACTGTGCCTTTGGACTTCACAATTTGATTAATGCTGAGTAATAACACATTATCAAACTAAATCCTCTGAGGCAAAAGAGATATGAAAGTTCAGCTGGCCTTCCACCAACTCTGTTCCAAAGTCTGGTGCCCTTTGCACTTTGAGTGGAAGGTGGATGGTTCCAGCTGCTGCCAGAGCTGATTAGGAAGGAGGAGACCTGGCCCTTTACCCTGGCTCCATCCTTTCTCCACCCTACAGCTTGCGGACACATTGGACCCTAAGACCAGGCCCTTGTTATGGGCGTCATGAACCAAAGGACACCTTAGCCAGTGACACTTGTCATGATTTTGTGCAAAGGCCGTGTGTAGAGAATGGGGACACCTTGAGATCCATCTCTGAATCTAGAGCCTGAGAGTCCTGAAACAGTGTCCTAGGGCTCGCAAACTGCAGAAATCCGGCTGCCCTCCATTCCCTCTGAGGACTCTGTCATGAAGCCACTGCTTTCTCGATGCTCAGGGCTACCCTGTGTGGATGGAAGAAGGTCCCAAATGATAGTGGAGAGCACCTCAGTGACCAGCAGGGTGTGAAAGGGACAAGCGCCCACCACCACAGCCCTCTAAGCTACCTTGCTGGGGTCCCAGCAAGGATAGGGAGCAAGCCCTTACTGACTGTGTTCTCTGCTGTCCAGGACCTCCCCATGCTTTGAGCCTTCAGCATCTACCTTCTTTGACTCTGTTCCTATTACTTCTATGACCCAGACCCTGTCTGCTCCATCTGCAGCCCTGGCTCTGGCCCTGTCACAGGTTCCTGGGGCCTCTGGGAAGCTGTGCTCCCCCTGACTCCCAGCTCTCCAGGGTCTTGCACATTGAATTGCTGAACACATGGCAGCCCACATCTCCCAGCCATGAGCCTGCTGCCCTGCAGGTGATGGACAGCCAAAGTCCACCCAGCTCTCTCCTCCTCCACTGAGGCCTCTGGGCATCCAGGCACAGCACACTGGTACACAGCATCTCTCCTAGCACTCAGCAGGCTGAAGCAGGAGCAGGGCAAGTTTACTGCCAGCCTGGGCACATAGGACTTCAAGGGCAGCCTGGACTACACAAAACACAGTAAATGACTTTCTCAAATAGCATAAAAACAAGTGTCCTGTTGTGTTGGCGCAGTTGCTCAGATGCAAAGATAAGCAGCCTGAACCAAAAGCCCAGAAACAACTATCAAGGTCTATGTTCATGAGTTTCTCATGCAAGTCCTTCCTGGCTCCCTTCTGCAAGGAGCAGCCTTGACCTGCTCTTTTCCCTCCTCCTGGTCACAGTGACCTTTGCTCCAGCCCTGCTGTGTGCCAGCCACAGGCTACGCACTTTCTTTTCCTACAAGGAAACTCCAGGAATGAAGAAACTAAGGCAGAGCGTGGTGAAGGACCAGCAAAGGCTGCATAACTCGCAGCTGGCAGAGGGATGCTGCCCGAGTGGGTGCTGTTTCCCTTCAGCTTGTGGCCATTCCCTGCCAGGGGGTGAAGGGAGATCATGTCTCCCAGGGACTGTGGAGAGGGTGCCCTGAACCCCAAACACAGGAGCAGCCTGGAGGAGCTCTGTCTGCCCCTGAGAGCCCCAGTCCAGCGGGCATCTGGACAGCCTTGCTGGACGCCCCACTCCGGTAACCTGGTCAAATCAGTCATCTCCACCAGTATCTCCCAGGCGACATCTTCAGTCAGCAGTTGGGGCAGATCCTCACTGCTCAGCATGTCCAGAATGTGCCCAATGACAACCTCCATGAAGCTGTCACTGTCTGGTGGAGGAAAACAGGAGAAAGGTCGGTGACAGTGCAGTGGGGAGTAAATGGCTTTGAGTACAGGGGTTAATGATGGGTTCTGGACCTCATATGAATTGCTGAATAATTATGGTGGCCATCTAACGGAGTGGAAGCTCTTAAAACCAGAGCTTATCTTCCCAATGGCCACTTCCTCCTTCTCCCCCAAGCCAGCCCTGGATAGAGTTTCCTCTCACCTTTCCTGCACACACTGGAGAGACCCCAGTCAGCTCCTTACATGTAATTGACACTGCTCCTCACACTCCACTCCTAGCGAAAGTCCATAGCAGTCTCAACTCTCTTTGTCTCAGGTAGAGGATTCCCCCATCCGACCTGATCCTCTCTGTCTCTTTGGAGTTAACAGAGGCTCCTTTTATCGTTCCTATCTCTTTACGGTGCTACTGAGAAACCTAACAGTTAATGTTCCTCCTAGGAGCTGCTGTCCCATCGCACACTTCAGATGGAGAGACAAGGGCTATGAACCAAAACATGCCCCCCAAACTGATATGATCCACCCTCAACCCCAGTGCTGAATTTGGAGCTGGGCCTTTAGGGAGGTGTGGGAACTGAGATCATAAATGTAGCACTCTAGTCTGTAGGACTGGTGTCCTAATAAGAACAAATCTTTGTCTCTGTCTGTCTGTCTGTCTGTCTGTCTGTCTGTCTCTCTCTCTCTCTCTCTCTCTCCCTCCCTCCCTCCCTCCCCCCGTGACTTTTTTTCTCTCCCTCTCCCCTGGCACAGAGAAAGTTGCATGTGCTCACTGAGTGAAAAGACTCCCTCTGCAGACCAGAAAGAGAATGCTGACCGGAAACCAGCCCCGCCCCACCTTCATCATGGATTTTGGCTTCCAGAACCAGCAGAGAAAGGGGGTCTTTCTTTAAGTTTCCAGCCTGTGAAGCCCTGTGGTAGTGGTAGGAGGGAACTAACACACCACAAATGCCCCCAGCACAGAGCTCAGAAAATGAACTTCATCCTGGAAAGTAGGAAACTTCCAAGCATGGGGTCACCTACCGCATGCCCACTGTGTGTCACATAGACCCTCATGTTCCCAATGCGAGCTTCAACCCCTCAGTGCATTTTGAAATTGATTGACTGGGTTAAGAGCAGCACTTTTGAGAGGAAACAGAAAGATCAACATTAGAGCATGTGGAACATAGTAGGGGTGGGGGTCACTTCTGTGAATGATTTCTTGGTTTGTGAACTTGATTCTTTCCATGATTCTGGTGACAAATTGGGTTGGATGATAACTGAGTCAAATTTTATGGTCAGGTTTCACATTGACCTTATGAGGAAATTTGTTTTTGTTTTTTTTAAAGATTTAACCATTATATATATTTTTAATTTTTTATTTTTATTGG